AGAGTGGTCCAGCATTTCTGTGTTCTCAAATAAAATGCTGTGTCCAGGTTGGTTCATCAGATGCTCTGCTATGGCTGACTTCTCTGGTTGAAGTAGTCTGCAGTGCCTTTCGTGTTCCTTGATGCGTGTTTGGGCAATGCTGCTGCGTTTGGTGGTCCCTATGTAGACTTTGCCACAGCTGCATGGTATACGGGAGACTCCTGCAGAGGTGAGAGGATCCCTCTTGTCCTTTGCTGAACGTAGCATTTGTTGGATTTTCTTGGTGGGTCTGTAGATAGTTTGTATGTTGTGTTTCCTCATCAGCTTCCCTCTGCGGTCAGTGGTTCCCTTGATGAATGGCAGGAACACTTTTCCTCTGGGTGGATCTTCATCTTGACTCTTGTGGCTTGTTCTCGGTGGTCTTGCAGCTCTTCTGATGTCTGAATGGCTTGTTATTTCACTCTCCCAAGAAAAATCCTCCTGAAGCCTGTTGTGTAATTCTGCCTTTCTTTCACAGAGGAAATGTGATTGTTGGCTGAGAAATTTGGAGTTGAACCTGTTGAGGGATTTCTTTCCCTTAAGAAGAGGGAGGAAAAGCATCTTGGATACGGTTGGGTTCTTCATCAGAGTGGTTCTAACATGGAGAGACTCAGCTCACCTGGACCTGAAGTAGGCATGTCCCCTGAGAGCAGTTTTGCATCCTGGGAAAGAACTATGCAGACGTTCCTGGATGCGCACACACAGCGCCATCGCTTCAGGCATTCCTCCTTCCGAGAGGGCGAGGGACCCAGAGAGGTTTGCAGCCGCCTCCACTCTCTCTGCCGCCAGTGGCTGAAGCCAGAGCAACACACCAAGGCGGAGATGCTGGACCTGGTGATCCTGGAGCAGTTCCTGAGCATCCTGCCCCCAGAGATGGGGAGCTGGGTCCGAGAGTGTGGGGCAGAGACCTCTTCCCAGGCGGTGGCCCTGGCGGAAGGCTTCCTCCTGAGTCGGGCAGAGGACGAGAAGCAGGAGGGACAGGTGAGAGCATTGCCTCTTGGCTTCACTCACCTTGGGACTGATGGAGAGATGAAATCTATATCCTGCCTTCCTTCCAAGATGGGAGCAAATTGGAGGGATAGCCTATCCCTTCTCCCTCAGCCTCTTCTCCCACCTGCTCTCCCCCCCCCCCCCCCCCCGTTACCTCCATATCCACTGTAAGCTCAGTTGCTGCCATACTCTAATTTGAAAATGATGGGAGGTGGAATGTGGCCAATCTCAGAATGCAGTTTCTGCACTTTGGGGGTGGGGGTGGGGTGGGGAATCCTTTTGTAATCTTTCTCCATGATACTTCTAAATTTTTCTGTGTTCTTTCAGGCCCACAATAATTGTACTGAAGCCCAGCCTGATGTCCCTGCATCGGAGAAATCCTACTCAGACACCACCCATAACCCCCAGCAGAAGGAACTCAAGCAGGAGGAAGATGGGGCTGCAGCCTTGGAGGGTAAGAAGGAACCCTTCTTCTGGTGTTTTATGCCAGTGAACATTCCCCTTCAGAGGGATTGTAGCACATCCACAATCCATTTAACCTTGAGAAGGCGCACATGCAGGATCATTTGGCCTTGAAAAGAGTAGATAAATATGGAATGGATAAAAACGGTGAAGCCAATGTAAAATATCAAAATTCCTATCAAGCAGCTCATGGATGAAGTTAAAGTTATAATGGAAATTGTGGTATGGGTATGGGGCGGGGGAGGAAAGAGTGAACAGAACTAAGATATGTTAGATGAATGAGTGGATAATATAGAGGGGAGGAAGAGGGAGAAATAGGAAGAGGTTGGAGAAATGTGGTCATAGATGAAAAAAATGTGCAAAATCTACTCCTATAATTAATAATAATAAATCTTTTTAAAAGATGAATATATAGGTAGTCATTCAGGTTGCAAAAACTGTAATTTTCAGTGTGATTTGCAGGGTTTTTTTTTCTGGCAATACTTTTACATTTGCATACTGTTGGGTGGGACTGGAAAATCAGCCCTTCAATATCCTCCCAGGTGGGATCCGAAGCTAAGATGAACCTGAAACTGAGGTGGAAGACAAACAGACAACGAACAGTAACTTTAGTCAATCGAAATACCAAGCCCAGGACTCGTTTCATTTAAATGTATTCACAGCATTGCTTGCGAGATAAAAAGTCCTAAACTCCAAAATGTTGCCTATTCCTGGGCTGGAGAATGCTCCTGTGTTCATAGGGTCATTTCCTCATAGATTTCTTTATAGGATAGTAATTCTCTCCTCTGAGACATGTTTATGTGATCAGCTTTCCACACCATGTTATCTATTTCCTAGAGGTTGGAATGATGTTCCCGAATCCTCAGTGGTTTCTTCCGCTTCGTGATGGAGTGGAAGTGAATCAGGTAAGCAGAAGGATTCCTGGGAGAGGAGGAAGGGAGGGGCCTGGGGGTAATTTCTTCCAGGCTTAACAATCAAACATTGTTCTTGAAACAGAAAAGATCGAATGGGAGTTTATTAAATGTGAGATACTGAAGGCACAATTGCAAACAGTGCCAACAAGGAGGGGGGAAAAAAACAAATAAGAGCAGTCTAAAGAAACCTAGAATGGAAATGAGCTCAAGCTTGTCAGACAGATTAAAAACAATAAAAAGTGGTTATTGGTTGTGTCAGAACAAGAAGAAGGAACAAGTCAAGAGTAGGGTCTTTGCCTGGAGAAGGTGGTGAAATGCAAACGGGGTGGGGAAAAGGTAGAACGTGGCCTCAGTCCTCTCCCAAAAGGGAATCAGTATTCTACTTGAGCAACATGGAGCAGGTGAGGTAATAGGGGAAATGCAACCCAAAATAGGTGAAGAAGTGGTTCAGGAATAGCTGGGCCCTCTCAATGAATGCAAGTCTCCAGGGCCACAGGAACGACACCCAAGAGTCCTGAAGAAACTTGCAGAAGATATTTCAGAACCACTGGCAATAATCTTTGAGAACTCCCGGAGAACGGGAGAAGTCTGAACGGACTGGAGGAGGCAAAGAGTGTCTCTGTCTTCCAGAATGGACAAGGGGTGCTCACCAGCGGTTCCTCTTCATCCTGGAAAGAAGGGAGGAGTGCTGCAGGGCTCTTTTGGGGGTTCTGTCCTGGGCCCAGTGCTCTTCCACATCTTTCTTACTGACTTGGATGAAGGTTCAGAGGGCATGCTTATCATGTTTGCAGATGACACCAAATTAGGAGAGATATATAATACTTACTCCAGAAAACAGGATCCGAATTCAAAATGGTCTGAACTTTGAGAGAGCTGGGTGAAAACTAAAAACAAAGAGAAATGTAGGAAATACACAACACACAGATACAGGATGGGTAACATCTGGCTAGACATTGGTACATGCGGAAAGGATCTTGGAGTGTTAGTAAACCACAAGGGGAAAAAAGAGAAATCTAAAGAAACCAGAATAAATATCGAGTCGCCTTTGGGTTGAGAAAGGCAGCATAGAAATACCGTAAATAAATCAACAAGATTTAAAAGGAATGTGTACAAGAAATGGAAAAGCTGGGGTGTGGGAATTCCCAAAGAAGATTTCAAATGACTCACCAGCATAAGGAGGGAGAAGGCCTGAGAAGCTGCAGCAGAAAATGAGCTTAGGCTTGCCAGAGGGATTAAAAACAATGAAAGGGGCTTCTTTGGTTGCGTCAGTAGAAGAGAGAGAAAAGAGCCTACAGTAGAGTTTTCTCAACAGTCTCCCTTCCTGGGCTAGCCGGGGTGGTCTCGGGGTTGGCCTTCGAGTCTCAGCGGCTAATAGTTCTGGGAGACTTCAACATCCATGCTGAGACTGCCCTGTTAGGAGTGGCTTGGGACTTCATGGCCTCCATGACAACCATGGGCCTGTCCTAGGCAGTGTCTTGCTCTACCCATGCTGCTGGACACACTTTGGACTTTGTTTTCTGTGCAGGATGGGATGATGGTGATGATGATGGTGTTGGCCACAGTTCCGTTGTCATAGACCGATCACTACCTGATCAGGTTTAGACTTGCCAGGACTCCAAACCTCTGCAGGGGTGGGGAACCGATTAAGACGGTCCATCCCAGGAGGCTTATGGATCCGGGTGGGTTCCTGATGGCTCTTGGAGACTTTCCTGTCACTTTGGTAGGCGATTCTGTTGAAGTTCCGGCTGACCTCTGGAATGGAGAACTGGCCGGGGCAGTGAACACAATTGCTCTCAAATGTCCCCTCTTGTGGAGTGCAGCCAGAGCAGCCCCTTGGCTTTCCAAGGAGTTGGCAGAGATGAAGCAAGTAAGACGGAGACTAGAGCGACATTGGCAGAGAACTCGAAGCAAATCTGACTGAGCCAAAAATGTGATGCAGCAGCTTAGAAGCCTATAGGTTTTGGGCTACATCCAAAGGAATTAAGGGAAGACATGGTGAGCTTCTTTCTGCTTTGGTGAGAACTCACCTGGAATATCACTGTGTCCCATTCTGGGCAATACAATAAAAGATGGAACATGTCCAGATTCCATTTCTGATTCTAAATGTCAATTGAGAAATGGTTGTGCCTGTGACCAACTGGACGTCTCTACAAAGTCTAAACTATGGCATGGAGGCCTTAGCCCTTTCTCTTTTGAACACTCAACAGGAATGTACATCTCCTTTAAAGATTTTCTTGTAATTATTTTCCTAGATACCCCTTGTGTAAGAAGGAAATGTTTTCTTTTTCCACCAGGGCCCAATCGCCTTTGAGGACGTGGCTGTCCATTTCTCTTTGGAGGAGTGGGCTCTCCTGAGTTCTGATCAGAAAGTCTTGCACATGCAAATCATGGAGGAGATTCATAGGATTGTGGACTCTCTTGGTAAGGCTCCCCCATTGGTAAGGATTTTTATTTTAAAATGCAGGATCCCAATCAGCAGCTTCCTCGTGGGAGCAGAATCCTAAATCATCCCAATCTCTGTGAGTTCTCAAGGCAGGTCTTCTATTAGAAATATATGACATAAGAGTAATGTTGACATTCATGCTGAGGAATGATTGTTTCTGTCCTTCTTCACAGCAGATAACTGGAAGAAGAGCAGTGTATACACCAAACACAGTAAGCATTTTGAGCAAGATGGGGGCTTTCCTAGACACCAGCAAACCCACAGTGAAGATGGAGGATCTGCCAGAGAAAGGCCCCACAAATGCAATGTGTGTGGCCAATGTTTTACTCAAAATATGGCACTTCTGCTTCACAAGACACTCCATGCTGGGACAAGCCATCTTAAATATAAAGTATCAGCTGAATGTGTTGCTGATTACAAATTGCCACATTGGAGCCAAGATGAAAGCTTTGAAGGAACTGAGGATTTCATAAGCCTGGAGTGTAGGAAATCTTTTATCCAGAGTTCACACTTAGAGAAACATAAGGGATTTCACACAGGAGAGAAGCCGCATCAATGCCAGGAGTGTGGGAAATGTTTTGTTCGCAGTTCAGCCTTGGTGAGCCACAAAAGAGTCCACACAGGAGAGAAACCATACCAATGCCAGGAGTGTGGGAAATGTTTTGTTGACAGTTCAGCCTTGGTGAGGCACCAAAGACTCCACACAGGAGAGAAGCCATACCAATGCCAGGAGTGTGGGAAATATTTTGCCGACAGTTCAGCCTTGGTGAGGCACAAAATACTCCACACAGGAGAGAAGCCATACCAGTGCCAGGAGTGTGGGAAATGTTTTGCTGACAAATCAGCCTTGTGGAGCCACAAAAGAGTCCACACAGGAGAGAAGCCATACCAATGCCATGAATGTGGGAAATGTTTTGCACGCAGTTTTGGTTTGGTAAGCCACAAAAGACTTCACACAGGAGAGAAGCCATACCATTGCCAGGAGTGTGGGAAATCTTTTGCTCGTAGTTCAAACTTGGTGAACCACAAAAGACTCCACACAGGAGAGAGAACATACAAATGCCACGAGTGTGAAAAATGGTATTCTTGTAAGTCATCACTTCTGAGACACCAGAGTGTCCACACAGGAGAGAAGCCACCCCAATGCCAGTTATGTGGGAAGTATTTTGCTGACAGTTCGGCCTTGCTGAGGCACAAAAAACTCCACACAGGAGAGAAGCCATATCCATGCCAGGAATGTGGGAAATGTTTTGCTGACACTTCAGCCTTGGTGAGCCACAAAAGACTTCACACAGGAGAGAAACCATACAAATGCCAGGAGTGTGGAGAATGTTTTGCTCGCAGTTCACTCTTGGTGAGGCACAAAAGACTCCACACAGGAGAGAAGCCGTACCAATGCCAGGAGTGCGGGAAATGTTTTGTTGACAGTTCAGCCTTGCTGAGCCACAAAAAACTCCACACAGGAGAGAAGCCATACCAATGCCTGGAGTGTGGGAAAAGTTTTGCTCGCAGTTCAAACTTGATGAGGCACCAAAGTGTCCACACAGGAGAGAGACCATACAAATGCCAGGAGTGTGGGAAATTGTATTCTTGCAAGGCATCACTTCTGAGACACCAGAGCACCCACACAGGAGAGAAGCCATACCAATGCCAGGAGTGTGGGAAATGTTTTACTCAGAGTTCATACCTTGTGAGCCATCAGAGAATTCATACAGGAGAAAAACCACCCAAAGAACTGGAACAAAAGTAATAAAATGAATTGCAAAAGGAAAATTGCAGGTTTGGATATTCTGGTCCTGTGGACTATACATTCAACATTTCCTGATGAGCACATGATTCCCTTGGCTTCAATGAGCACTTGGCTTGACTTCGGACTGATGTCCTAGACTACCCTCTTCTTGGGTTTGAACTCTGTACAGGTTTTTTGCTTTGCTTGACTTGGGGCTGTTTTGGAGAACTCTTTTGCTTCACCAGGGGACTGGACTGGCTTTCCTCTCTTCTGCCTTTGTGGTTAGATATCACATTTCAAACAGGACTGTTTGGGAAGATTTTGTAGAGTCCACTTTCTTGTCCCGTGACAATTCTTCAGAGGGTTAAATATGATTGTCATGTCATAGAGGGGGATAGGGGTGGGGTGGGAGTGGGGGTTTAAGGGGAATTTAATTGATCTATATTGAACTATTGAGGGGAAATCATAGAGAGGAGGGAGCAAACTTGTTTTCTGCTGCCCTGGAGACTAGGGCGCAAAACAATGGCTTCAAACTACAGGAAAGGAGATTCCATCTGAACATGAGGAAGAACTTCCTGACTGTGAGAGCCGTTCAGCAGTGGAACTCTCTGCCCTGGAGTGTGGTGGAGGCTCCTTCTTTGGAAGCTTTTAAACAGAGGCTGGGTAGCCATCTGTCAGGGGTGATTTGAATGCAATATTCCTGCTTCTTGGCAGAATGGGGTTGGACTGGATGGCCCACAAGGTCTCTTCCAACTCTATGAAAGTGATGGAAATCATGGATATGGATAATTTAACCCAATTAATGAAGAAACATACAGGAAGACCCATTCAATCAACGGACTGACCGCTATTTAAGGATTACATGAACTTAGAGAAAAAGAAGATAGTCGTATAATTTATAAGGAACTGAAATAAATTAGGCAATAAATTAGAAAAACATAAAGGGGAAATGCATTACAGTAAGAAAATGAGATCAAAGACTATAGACAAATGGTGGAGAAGAAGTTTGGAAGACAACATATTCCCCCTCCTCCCCTTTTTTTCTAACCATACCCCTATTCTTCCTTATACCTACCCCATTCAACCTAAATAACCTGGAGCCCCCAATAGTGCAGTGGATTAAACCCTTGTGCCCCCAGGACTGAAGACCCACAGGTCGCAGGTTCGAATCTGGGGAGAGCATGGATGAGCTCCCTCTGTCTGCTCCAGCTCCCCATGCAGGGACATGAGAGAAGCCTCCAACAAGGATGGTAAAAACATCAAAACACCCTGGCATCCCCTGGGCGATGTCTCTGCAGTCGGTCAATTCTCTCACACCAGAAGCGACTTGCAGTTTCTCAAGTCGCTCTTGACATTAAAAAACCCCCACCCTAAATCACCTGTATATATCCACAACTATCCCTCCCCCGCTCCCCTTGAATTCCCCTTTTTTATTTACATCTTCAATGTGAAAACTTTCAATAAAGATTATGACAAAAAACAAAACAGCATTTGTAGAATTAATACATGCTTCCCAACAAGTCACTTCTAATTGCTTGAGTGTCAGCTGCATTAAGATCTCTCTGACCAAAAGGTCATGAGTTTGAAGCCAGCCCGGGTTGGAGTGGGTTTCCAACCAATTGTGTGTAGCCTGTTGTCGACCTTTGCAACCCAAAAGACAGTTGCATCTGTCAAGTAGGAAAATAAGGTACCACCTTAAAAGTGTGGGGAGGCTAAATAAACTGATTTATGAGGCCATAAAGAAGACGCCAGCAAAGCATTCCAGCAGGGAAGCATGCGGGGAATGCGGAAGTGCTTCATCAGCGTTGCAGATGGATGATGAAAGCGACAGCTCCCCTGGCGGCCAGAAAAAAAAAAAGTTAAATAGCCTCTGTGTATGTCTGTATATGTTTGTATGTCAAAAATTGGCATTGAATGTTTGCCATATATGTGTACGCTGTAATCCGCCCTGAGTCTCCTGCGGGGTGAGAAGGGCGGAATATAAAAGCTGTAAATAAATAAACAATAAATAAATTGAGAAAATTTAATTACCAGTAAAGCGATTACCGTATTGGGTTGTCATAGGTCAGTGGTTCTCAGAGGTAGTGAGGTCTGTTGGAACTAGGAAAAAGGGTTTATATATCTGTGGAATGACCAGGGTGGGACAAAGGACTCTTGTCTGCTGGAGCTAGGTGTGAATGTTTCAACTGACCACCTTGATTAGCATATGATGGCCTGACAGTGCCTAGAGCAATCTTTTGTTGAGAGGTGGTTAGATGTCCTTGTTTATTTCCTCTCTGTTGTTGTGCTGTTGCAATTTTAGAGTTTTTTTTTAATACTGGTAGCCAGATTTTGTTCATTTTCATGGTTTCTTCTTTTCTGTTGAAATTGTCCACATGCTTGTGGATTTCAATGGCTTCTCTGTGTAGCCTGACATGGTGGTTGTTGGTGTGGTCCAGCATTTCTGTGTTCTCAAATAATATGCTGTGCCCAGGTTGGTTCATCAGAAGTACCTACTATCTCATATACCTCCGACGTGACGTGCTATCTATTCCCGATGGCTTCTCTGTGTAGTCTTGCACAACCACCATGTCAGACTACACAGAGAAACCATTGGAATACACAAGCATGTGGACACTGTCAGGCCATTATATGCTAATCAAGGTGGTCAGTTGATGCATTCACACCTAGCTCCAGCAGACAAGAGTCCTTTCCCACACTTCCCACTGAACTACTAATAATTTTATATTTGTTGAAATTGTTCTTCATTTTAATTATTGTATTGTTTTTAAGTGCTTTTTTGCACTACAAATAAGATATGTGCAGCGTGCTTAGGAATTCATTCATGTTTTTTTTCTCTAATTATAATCTGGCCCTCCAACAGTTTGAGGGACTGTGACCTGGCCCTCTGTATAAAAAGTTTGTGGACCCCTGTTGTCGTGGGTCCAACCCTTGTGCCGGCAGGACTGCTGACTGCAAGGTCTGTGGTTCGATTCTGGGGAGCAGGGTGAGCTCCCACCTGTCAGCTCCAACTTCTTAGGAGGGGACATGAGAGAATCCTCCCATAGGATGGTAAAACATCTGGGCATCCTCTGGGCAACGTCCAGTTTTCTCACAACAGAAGTGCTTTGCAGTTCCTTAAGTTGCTCCTCAGACAAAAAATAAATAAATCGAGAGATGCGCTTTCCCCCTCCTTCCAGTGGTATATGTAATTCCCTTGAGTGCTCTAACTGGAGGTCAGCTGTGACCAGCAGTGCTGCAGAATTCGAAGAGGCACGAGTGGAGGGCGAAAAGGAGACATGTGCCAAGAGGAAGGCACCTTTGATGTGGTTGGGGAGCAAGGGAGAGAATACATCTCACTAACTATCCTATGAATATGGAGTGTTTCCTCCATGACTCTGTCTCTGCCATCATCTTTCATCCTTTGGTTCCAGGGCTTTGGAGAGATGCTCTTTCCTCCTCCTTCCAGTGTAATGCTGGGCAAGGAAGGGTTAAGGGGAGGGAGTTTGGTTCCCAGAGAGGCAGGAAGGAAGTGGGCCTCCCCCCCTCCCAGACCCTTCTTTCCTGCCCCTCTAGGAACCAGACTCCATCCCCTTCACACTTCCTGATCCGGCCAGCAGAGGGGAGTTGGTTCTCTTGGCCTCTCACCCTTCCTCCTTCCTCTTCTCCTTCTGGTGAGTCCTCTTCCCATTCCTTCTCCATAGGGCCAAAGAGGGGCTGAAGCCCAACACACCTGGAGGGAGGGCCAAAGGGGGCCCAGGCCTGGACTAACCTGGGGTTGGTTGGGGGTCCCCACATTCTCCAATTGGGAGATAACAAGGTGTGCAACCATATCTATTCCAATTGAAGAGTGCTGACAGATCAATTATGTAAAGTCTCTAAAGTCTCTTGAATACTGAGTTTATGAATAGTACAAGAGAGGCCCTGGATGAGGGAGGCTCAGCTGAAGGAGTCTTGGGGGGATCCAGCCTGGGCTGGGACTGAAGGGGAGCTCACTGGGAGGTCGGGTGGGTCTGGAGGGTGGAGAAGCAGAGGCCCCAGTGGAAGGAAGGAGGGCACAGCATTAGTAATAATAATCTGTTATGGCCAGAGTTAACTTCACACTCGCACAGCCTCAGCGCGTTCCAGCAGCTTTCCTCCTGCTCAAACTACAAGAGAGGAGATTCCATCTGAACATGAGGAAGAACTTCCTGACTGTGAGAGCCGTTCAGCAGTGGAACTCTCTGCCCCGGAGTGTGGTGGAGGCTCCTTCTTTGGAAGCTTTTAAGCAGAGGCTGGGTGGCCATCTGTCAGGGGTGATTTGAATGCAATATTCCTGCTTCTTGGCAGAAAGGGGTTGGACTGGATGGCCCATGAGGTCTCTTCCAACTCTTTGATTCTATGATTCTATGATTCAGCACTTTTCAGTCTTCTCCTTCCAAAGTAGACACCTGAGCACATGCCCAGCCATTATCCAGTTTTTATTGTTGTCTTTCCCCCAGTTTAGATGATATTAGAGACTCACCATAGTACGCAGTATCTTGTCCAAGTAGACAGGTTCTTTTATAGTATTTGACAAATAACATCACAACAGCACAACATCAAAGGAAGGGGAATATACATTGTACATGGTTTCCTTATATACAATACATTTACAATACATTTACTCCTTGATTGGTTACCAACTAATTGACCCAACCCAAACCCAGGATTGCTTCATTGACAATCACTCTGAGTAGGCAAAAACACACTTCCCAAATGATTCCCCACATACAATCAATGCATTCACAGCATTCCCAACAGAAACCCATTAGCTCATTAGTAGTGCATGACTCACTACATAGTAAAACCTAACATAATCATCATAATAATCTGGGGACTCAGAGCGGCTGACATGGGGCCAAGCCCGAACAACATATGACAACAAAATAAAACCAAAGTATAAACAACAAACAACATAACCTGGCTCTGAAGTCAATAACGGGCTTATGAGTTCACTCTCCAAGAAAAAGCCTCCTGAAACCTATTGTCTAATTCCGCCTTTCTTTCACAGAAGAAACGTGAGCATTTTGGAGTACAGCCTGCGGAGGGATTTCTTTCCCTTGAGAGAAATGGGAGGAAACACATCTTGGATACTGTTTGCTTCTCCATCAAACAGTGGCTCCAACATGGAGAGACCCAGCTCACCTGGACCTGAAGCAGGCAAGGCCTCCGGGAGCAGTGGGGAATCCTGGGAAGGAACTACGCAGACGTTTCTGGATAGGCACACACAGGGCCAGCACTTCAGGCATTCCTCCTTCCGAGAAGGCGAGGGACCCAGAGAGGTTTGCAGCCGCCTCCACTCTCTGTGCCGCCAGTGGCTGAAGCCAGAGCAACACACCAAGGCGGAGATGCTGGACCTGGTGATCCTGGAGCAGTTCCTGAGCATCCTGCCCCCAGAGATGGGGAGCTGGGTCCGAGAGTGTGGGGCAGAGACCTCTTCCCAGGCGGTGGCCCTGGCGGAAGGCTTCCTCCTGAGTCGGGCAGAGGACGAGAAGCAGGAAGGACAGGTGAGAGCATTGCCTCTTGGGTTTCCTCACCCTGGGACTGATGAAGAGTTTAGATGTACATCCTGCCCTTCTTCCAAAATAGGACCTATGACAGAGAGAAGCAGGACTCTGTTCCCTCGGCCTCTTTTACCACCTGCTCTGCCCCTCTTGCTCTCACCTCCATATCCACTGTAAGCTGGGTTACTGATCTACCCAAATTTGTTTACCCCGGATATCACACTGGAAATGATGGGAGGGGGAGTGTAGCATTAGTTAGGTTACCATCTCAGAAGTTATTCTTTCCAAGGAAATCCATGCAGTTTCTGCACATAGGTCTGTGATATTTTTGAAAATTCTCCGTACGAATTCTGGAATACTATCTGCTCTTCCAGGCCCAAAATAACTGCATGAAAGTCCAGCCTGATGTCCCTTCACCAGAAAAGCCTCACTCGGACACCAAGCAGAGCCTCCGGCAGAAGGAGCTGAAGCAGGAAGGAGAGGAAGGAGAGGGGGCTGCAGCCTGGCAGGGTAAGAAGGAACCCTTCTGGGAGTTTTGGTGCTTTATGCCAGTGGAAATTCCCCTTCAGATGGATTGTAGCACATCCACAGTTTGAACTTGAGAAGGTTCACATGCAGGATTATTTCGCCTTGAGATTGGTGAATACCTTTAACTCACATCCTTTGTTTGATATCTGTTTTATGTACTTTAATATGTATTTCATAGAAATGCAGTTTTAATATGTAGTCACGCGGAGAGACAGATAATAAAATTGTTATTATTATTATTACTATTAATATTTGTACAAATGCTACGCTCAGCAAAGCACAAAAGGGGTCCTCTGACCTCTGCAGCAGTCTACCGTATACCATGCAGCTGTGGACAAGTCTACAGAGGGGCCACCAAACACTGCAGCAGCATTGCCCAGACATGAATTAAGGCAAAAGAAAGGCACCCTAAAATTTTACATATTCTTGGGGTGTTGAATACTCCTGTGTTCATAGGGCCATTTCCTCATAGGTTTCTTTATAGGACTGTAATTGTAACCTCTGAGGCACGTTTATGTGATCAGCTTTCTACCCCTTGCTCTCTCTCTCTCTTTTTCCCAGGGGCTGGAATGAGGTTGTTGCCGAATCCTCAGTCGTTTTGGGATGGAGTGGAAGTGAATCAGGTAAGCAGAAGGATTCCTGGGAGAGGAGGAAGGGAGCTGCCTGGGGGTCATTCCTTCCAAGCTTCATCCTCAAACATCTCTTGAAACAGAAAAGATAGAATGGGAGTTTCTTAAAAGTGAGATACTGAAGGCACAATTGCAAACAGTCCCAACAGGGAGGAAAAAATGAATAAGAGTAGTATAAAGAAACCAGAATGGATGTTCAAAGAACTTTCAGCTGAGCTAAGATTTAAAAGGGATGTGTTCAAGAAACGGAAAAGGGGGGAAATCACCAAAGAATTCAAAGAACTAACCAGCATAAGTAAGAAAAAGATCTGACAACCTTGCCAGAGAGATTACAAAGAATAAAAAGCGGGTTCTTTGGTTGTGTCAGTAGAAGAAGGAAAAACGAAGAAGTGATAGGGTCTGTGCCTGGAGAAGGTGGTGAAATGACCACAGGGGATGGGGAAGAGGGAGAATGTGGCCTCAGTCCTCTCCCAAAAGGGAATCAGTGTTCTGCTTGAGCAAGATGGAGTAGAGGGCATAACAGGGGAAATGTGACCCAAAATAGGTAAAGAACTAGTCCAGGAATAGCTGGGCACTCTCAATGAATTCAGGTCTCCAGGGCCACAGGAACTACATCCAAGAGTCCTGAGGGAACTTGCAGAATAAATTTCGGAACCACTGGCAATAATCTTTGAGAACTCCCGGAGAACAAGAGAAGTCTGACCGGAGTGGAGGAGGCAAAGAGTGTCTCTCTCTTCCAGAATGGACAAGGGGTGCTCACCAGAGGTTCCTCTTCGTCCTGGAAAGAAGGGAGGAGTGCTGCAGGCTCTTTTGGGGGTTCTGTCCTGGGCCCAGTGCTGTTCCACACCTTTCTTATTGAACCTTGGATGAAGGTTCAGAGGGCATGCTTATCATGTTTGCAGATGACACCAAATGAGGAGGGATAGATAATACTCCAGAAGACAGGATCAGAATTCAAAATGGCCTTAATGTATTAGAGAGCTTGATGAAAACTAAAAATTAATTCCAACAAAGAGAAATGTAGGAAATACGCAACGCATAGATACAGGATGGGTAACATCTGGCTTGACAGGGATCTTGGAGTGTTAGTAGACCACAAGTTGGACATGAGCCAACAGTGAGATGCACAGCTATACAAGTCTCAGGTGAGAAGGATTTCTCTTTCTTTTCCCTCCAGGGCCCAATCGCCTTTGAGGAGGTGGCTGTCCCTTTCCCCCTGGATGAGTGGGTTAACCTGAACCCTGATCAGAAAGCCTTGCACATGCAGATCATGGAGGAGATTCATGGGATGGTGGACTCTCTTGGTAAGGCCCCCTCATTCCTGGGGATTTCTGTTTCAAAGTGCAGCATCCCAGTCAGCAGCTCTCTGGTGGGAGCAGGATCCTCAATCATCCCAATCTCTGAGAGTTCTCAAGGCAGGGCTTTTGTTGGAAATATATGACATGAGTGGAACATGGACTTGGTGCCTGGGTCACAGTGGTGTTGGCACCAATTCACACTCCAATGGGAAGACTTCCTTAACTGGAGCCAAGTGCAAGCGCACCACACTCCCTCACAGCAAAGCCGCCCCCCCCCCCGGAAAACCCATCAAGAGTAGTCACCCCAGATCAGTCACACTTCTCTCTCTCTCTCTCTCTCTCTCTCTCTCTCTCTCTCTCTCTCTCTCTCTCTGAGTGTGTGTGTGTTCTGCCTCTGTGTTAATTGGGTTGAATTGGAAGGAATTTTACGCAAAGGACAGATTGGAGGCTGTGTGGGAAGTAAAATAATTGTTTATTTGAACAAACTGAATTTCCTTTCCTTTGGTTTCCGTTGTATGAAAGGAAACCTGATAATCTTCTGCAGCCTTGTACTTAACCCAGAATGTGATTGCCTTTACTTTACTAAATAGATATTAAATGTGACTTTTAATTATTTATTTATGTATTTTATTTTATTTGTATGCCGCTCTTCTCAGCCCTTAGGCGACTCAGAGCGGTTAACAACACAGTTTCAATATACATAGTACAAAATCATTGGACATTTAAAGCAATAGTAACAATTAATTAAACATTGAACATCAAACATCAATATAACAAATCCATCACGTCTCATCGATGGAATCAGAATCCAGTCTCATTATCCTTATTCCGTGTTCCGATAATCGATTACACTGCCTAGTCGAACGCCTGTTCGAAAAGCCAGGTCTTCACTTTCCTCCGGAATGCCAAGAAGGAGGGGGCCGATCTGATTTCTGTAGGAAGGGCGTTCCACAGCCGAGGGGCCACCACTGAGAAGGCCCTGTCTCTCGTCCCTGCCAGGCGTGCTTGTGAAGCTGGCGGGATCGAGAGAAGGACCTCCCCGGACGATCTTAATATCCTAACTGGTTCATAGAAGGAGATGCGTTCGGACAGGTAGGTCGGGCCAGAACCGTTTAGGGCTTTAAAGGCTAAAGCCAGCACTTTGAATTGTGCCCGGTAGCAAATTGGCAGCCAGTGGAGCTGGGCAACAGAGGACGCTCCCTGAGTGCCGCTCCTGTTAGCATCCTGACTGCTGATCGTTGGACCATTTGGATCTTCCGAGCAGTCTTCAGAGGCAACTGCAGAGGCAACTTTTTCTATACTACAGTGGTCCCTCGCTACTTCGCAGTTCGCCTCTCGTGGACTCACAGTTTCGTGGTTTTTCAATATGGACTTAAGCGCATTTGTCTGTATGGAGAGGCTGCCTCTGCAGATCAAGCCAGAGCCAAGGATTAGGTTCAAGGAGGGTCATGTAGTGTATAAGTGTGTGCGGAGGGTTTATAAAGACTTAAAATAGTGTATAACTATAAATAAAGTACGAACACTATCTTTATTTTAATGTATAAAATATATATTTATATATATTTATTTTAATATTTATAGATTAAAATAAAGATAGTGTTCCTACTTTGCGGATTTTCACTTTTTGCGGGTGGTCCTGGAACATAACACCAGCGATAAGTGAGGGAACACTGTATATCCAAATCTATGCTCCTATGTCACTACTATATCTAATATTTATCTAAAGGAGCCCCCGGCGGCACAGTGGGTTAAACCCCTGTGCCGGCAGGACTGAAGACCGACAGGTCGCAGGTTCGAATCCGGGGAGAGGCGGATGAGCTCCCTCTATCAGCTCCAGTTCTTCATGCGGGGACATGAGAGAAGCCTCTCACAAGGATGATAAAAACATCAAATCATCCAGGCATCCCCTGGGCAACGTCCTTGCAGACGGCCAATTCTCTCACACCAGAAGCGACTTGCGACACGACCAAAAAACCAAAAAAATCTAAATGACATATCTATCTTTTGCTGATTGTACTATTTATATTATTTTGCTTCCTATTAACTCCGACGTGACGTGGATCCTTGTGCTCTTTTTCAATTATATATAACGATAATAAAGCAATAGTAGGACTTCTGCTTGTGCTCTTTCTGCCCCTCTGCTGCCTTCCAATAATAAACTCCAACTGATTTCCTAACCATCAAAACTGCCATTCTAAAAGGCAGGCTGGCCTTTGCATGTCTGACGGCTAAGCTCTCTTTCTGCGTTGCCTCTCCCAGCACACAAACAGCCCCCAACCTCAGTCATCCGTATTATGGCGACTTGTAATATATTGCAGTCTATGTTCTGTGATTGGGAATGATGGGGGCTCGGGGTGGTTTGTGCCCTGGGAGAGGCATCTAGCAGTAATCCCACTCTAGGCCCCTCTCTTTCCATCTATCTCTGGCTGAGGGTGGGGAAACGATAACAGTTCTATCTTCTCCACCTCCATGTCTAGGCTGTTTTAGGAATCCTTTCAATCCACTCCTTATCCCACTTCCTCAGAGTCCTCATCACTCACGCTGAGGAATGATTGTTTCTGCCCTTCTTCTTCCCAGCAGATAACTGGAAGAAGAGCAATGTGTGCACCAAACACAGGACGCATTTGGGACACAACGGGGACCTTCCTGGACACCAGCAAACTCACAGTGAAAGTGGAGATTCTGCCACAGAAAGGCCCTACAAATGCAATGTATGTGGACAATGTTTTACGCAAAATATGGGACTTATACTTCACAAGACAGTTATTGCTGGGAGAAGCCATTGTAAATGGAAAATATCAGCAAAATGTATTGCTGATTACGAATCGCTATATTGGAGCCAAGAAGAAATCTTTCAAGGAACTGACGATATCATAAGCCAGAAGTGTGGGACATCTTTTATGCAGAGTTCACACTTGAAACATGAGCGATTTCACACAGGACAGGAACCATATAAATGCCAGAAGTGTGGGAAATTTTTTCCTGACCGTTCAGCCTTGGTAAACCACAAAAGACTCCACACAGGAAAGAAACCATATCACTGCCAGGTGTGTGGGAAATGTTTTGCTCAAAATGCACACTTGGTGAGGCACAAAAGAGTCCACACAGGAGAGAAACCTTACCAATGCCAGGAGTGTGGGAAATGTTTTCCTCGCAGTTCAAACTTGGTGAGGCACAAAATAGTCCACACAGGAGAGAAGCCATACCAATGCCAGGAGTGTGGGAAATGTGTTGCTGACCGTTCATCCTTGGTGAACCACAAAAGAGTTCACACAGGAGAGAAGCCATACCAATGCCAGGAGTGTGGGAAGTGTTTTAGTTACCGTTTAGCCTTGGCGAAGCACAAAAAACTCCACACAGGAGAGAAACCATAACAATGCCAGGAGTGAGGGAAATGTTTTGCTTACAGTTCACACTTGGTGAGGCACAAAAGGGTCCACACAGGACAGAAGCCTTAGAAATGCCAGGAGTGTGAGAAATGTTTTGCATTCCCCACACCCACAAAAAACTACACAAGGGATAGAAAGGTTAAAAGATCCAGAAGTATGGGAAATGTTTTATTTAGACGTCCTCCCATAACTAGAGAATATACACAGGCTGAAAAACATACAAATGCTAAGGCATGTGGGAAATGTTTTAGTTGAGGTTCTTAACTTTTGAACTATCACAGACTACATTCAGGAGAGACATCATCCAAAGAGCTGGGACAAAATTAATAAAATGTTTTGCAACAGGGAAATGGCAGACGGAATGGCTTCCAGTAACACTTGGCTTGACTTTGGGCTCATTTCTTTGACCATTTCCTCTTAGTGTCATGCCACCCGTGCTCTAGTCTACCTTGGTCAGACCACACCTGGAATCACACACACTCTCTTTCTTTTTTTCTCTCTCCCACTTTTTCTATCTTTTCTTAATTGATTTTAAATGTTTTTATGGAAAACTTTCAATAAAGATTATTTTAAAAAAAAGTTGGGGAGCAATGCGCAATGGTTTGACAGGGAGAGAATAGATCTCACTAATCATCCTAGAAATACAGATTTTTTCCTTCCATCACTACATCTCTGCCACCATCTTGTGGAGAAGAGCAAACCACTGACCACCTGCTGCAATGCACCCCGAGACCTGCCATATGCACGATGGAGAACCTTCTTGCGGCAACACCAGAGGCACTCCAAGTGGCCAGATACTGGTCAAAAGACATTTAATAGAATACCAAGTTTGCAAATTTTGTGTGTGTGTGTTTTAATCTGTTTGTTTGTTTTGTTCTGTTAGAAATGTAATACAATGTTCTGGTTGTGGATGACACGATAAATAAATGCCACCATCTCTACTCGAAGCCCCCGTTGGTGTCGTGGGTCCAACCCTTGTGCCTTCCACAAAATAGCCCACCTATACAGAAAATAGTAAATAAGTGAATTCAGCAAATCATTGTAGAAACCTGTTAAACTGTTCAAATTCACATTAATGATAAACAATATTGTATGGATTCTATACAATCCCTCTGAGATGGGATCAACGCTGTGTCTTCTTCTGCCGAGTGGAACAGGACCGGTTTCGGCCTCACTCCAGGCCTTCCTCTGGCGGTCAAGTTATGAACGTGACACTTGTTCTCCTTCGAGAGACAGGTTTTTATACTCAGTGGGATGGGATGTTTATTATTTACTAGCTGTCCCCTGCCACACGTTGCTGCGGCCCAGTCTGTGTATATGTGTTTTGTGTGCATATCTTTGTGCATATGTGTGTTTGCATATATGTGTGTGTGTGCGCACGCACTTTTGTACATGCGTTGTAATATGTTTTTGTTTTTTGGCTTTTTGAGTCTCCTTTGTTATGTTTTTCCATGTTTTTATGAATGATGGTCACTTGTTGGCTTGATAGGTGTCTTGTGTCCAAATTTGGTGTCAATTGGTTCAATGGTTTTTGAGTTATGTTAATCCCACAAGCGAACATTACATTTTTATTTATCTAGATTTATTATTTGCAGTATTTCTATCCCGTTCTTTCTCAACCCCCGAAGGGAGACTCAGAACGACTTAAATTTGACAGCAATTCGATGCCATTCCGTATAACAATTAAAACAATAAGTAAAACATTCATTAAAACTGTCAAAAACAGTATTAACAGCTGTATCTCCATTCCAGTCAATTCCACATCCAATGCCATGTCCAATGTGCTGTCTATGCCTGTTGTCCTAAAGCAGGGGTCCTCAAACTAAGGCCCGGGGGCCGAATGCAGCCCTCCAAGGTCATTTATCCGGCCCTCGCTCTGGGTCAACCTGTCTGAAACTACTTGAAAGCACACAACAGCAACAACAACAATCCTATCTCATCAGCCAAAAGTAGGCCCACACTTTCCATTGAAATAATAAGTTTATATTTGCTAAAATTGTCCTCCACAGGGAGGAGGGAGCAGGCTTGTTTTCTGCTTCCCTGGAGACTAGGACGCAATGGAACAATGGCTTCAAACTACAAGAGAGGAGATTCCATCTGAACATGAGGAAGAACTTCCTGACCGTGAGAGCCGTTCAGCAGTGGAACTCTCTGCCCCGGAGTGTGGTGGAGGCTCCTTCTTTGGAGGCTTTTAAACAGAGGCTGGATGGCCATCTGTCAGGGGTGATTTGAATGCAATATTCCTGCTTCTTGGCAGAATGGGGTTGGACTGGATGGCCCATGAGGTCTCTTCCAACTCTTTGATTCTATGATTCTATAATTATTGTATTGTTGTTAAGTGTTTTTTTTTTTTGCACTACAAATAAGATATGTTTTTATATTATCTTTTTATATTATCTTATTGCACTACAAATAAGATATCCGGCCCAGTTTTATTGTGTCTTAGTGTATTGTTTATTGCTTGTTGTTTATATTGCTTTAACTGTTTTTAATTTGCTTTAGGTTTTGTATTGTTATGTTGTGTGTTGAGGCCTTGGCCTTTGTAAGCTGCATCGAGTCCTTCGGGAGATGCTAGCGGGGTACAAATAAAGATAATAATAATAATAATAATAATAATAATAATAATAATAATAAGTGTAGTGTGCATAGGAATTTATTCATGTTTTTTTCAAATTATAATCCGGCCCTCCAACAGTTTGAGGGACTTTGACCTGGCCCTCTGTTTAAAAAGTTTGAGGACCCCTGTCCTAAAGCCTGGTCCCAGAACCACAACTTCAATTTCTTCCTAAATGACAGGAGGGACGGAGCCGATCTTGCCTCAGTGGGAAGCGAGTTCCACAGGCAGGGGCCACAGCCGAGAAGGCCCTGTCTTTCGTCCCCGCCAGACGTATTTGTGACGCAGGTGGGAGCGAGAGCAGGGCCTCCCCGGATGATCGTAACCTGCGAGGCGGGACGTAGAGGGAGATGCGTTCGGACAAGTAAGCTGGGCCAGATCCTCTGTGGTGGGTTTGATTCTAATCTCTTGTGCCGCCAGGACTGCTGACTGGAAGGTCTGTGGTTCGATTCCGGGGAGCAGGGTGAGCTTCCAACTGGCAGCTCCAGCTTCTCATGTGGGGACATGACAGAAGCCTCCCACAGGGTGGTAAAACCTCCCCTGGGCAACCAGAAGTAACTTGCAGCTTCTCAAGTCATTCCTCATACAAAAAAGACAAAACCATCTTTCATCCTTTGTTTGCAGGGCTTTGGAGAGAGAGAGAGGCTTTTTCCCCTAATTCCAGGGTCAGGCTGGGCAAGGAAGGGTTAAGGGGAGCGAGTGTGGTCTTTCTAGAGAGGCAGGAAGGAAGTGGGCCTCCCCCCGACCTACCTTTCCGGTCCCTCTAGGAACCAGACTCCCTCCCCTTCACCCTTCCTTGCCTGGTTGGGAGAGGAGGAGTGTCCCCTTTGGCTCTCCTTCCTTCTCTTCCTCCTTCTTCCTCTTCTCCTTCCTCTCCTCCTTCCTGTGAGTCTTCTTCCCATTCCTTCTCCAAAGGGCCAAAGAGGAGCCAAAGCCCAACACACCTGGAGGGAGGAAGGGAGGGACAAAGTGGGCCCAGGCCTGGCCTCACCTGGGGTTGGTTGGGGGTCCCCACATTCTCCAATTGGGAGATAACAAGGTGTGCACCCATTTCTATTCCCATTGAAGAGTGCTGAGAGATCTATTATTTAAAGTCTCTTGAACACTGAGTTTATGAATAGTACAAGAGAGGCCATGGATGAGGGAGCCTCAGCTGAAGGAGTCTTGGGGGGATCCAGCCTGGGTTGGGACTGAAGGGGAGCTCACTGGGAGGCCGGGTGGGCCTGGAGGGTGGAGAAGCAGAGGCCCCAGTGGAAAGAAGGAGGGCCCACCATTAATAATAATCATAATCTGGGGACTCAGAGCGGCTGACATGGCGCCAAGCAACAACATATGACAACAAAATAGAACCAAAGTATACACAACAAACAACATGACCTGGCTCTGAAGTCAATAAAGGGCTTGTGAGTTCACTCTCCAAGAAAAAGCCTCCTGAAACCTGTTGTCTGATTCTGCCTTTCTTTCACAGAAGAAACGTGATTGTTTGTTGAGCATTTTGGAGTACAGCCTGCGGAGGGATTTCTTTCCCTTGAGAGAAATGGGAGGAAACGCATCTGGGATACAGTTGGGTTCTTCATCCAACATGGAGAGACCCAACTCATCTGGACCTGAAGCAGGCAAGGCCTCCGGGAGCAGTGGGGAATCCTGGGAAAGAACTACGCAGACGTTCCTGGATGCAGACACACAGCGCCAGCGCTTCAGGCATTCCTCCTTCCGAGAGGGCGAGGGACCCAGAGAGGTTTGCAGCCGCCTCCACTCTTTCTGCCGCCAATGGCTAAAGCCAGAGCAACACACCAAGGCGGAGATGCTGGACCTGGTGATCCTGGAGCAGTTCCTGAGCATCCTGCCCCCAGAGATGGGGAGTTGGGTCCGAGAGTGTGGGGCAGAGACCTCTTCCCAGGCGGTGGCCCTGGCAGAAGGCTTCCTCCTGAGTTGGGCAGAGGACGAGAAGCAGGAAGGACAGGTGAGAGCATTGCCTCTTGGGTTCACTCACCTTGGGACTGATGGAGAGATTACAGGTACATCCTGCCTTCCTTCCAAGATGGGACCCATGTGAGGGAGAAGCCGCACTCTGCTCCCTCAGCCTCTTTCCCCTCTGCTCTGCCCCTCCTGCTCTCACCTCCATATCCACTGTAAGCTCGGTTTCTGCTCCATCCAAATTTGTTGACCCCGGATATCACACTGGAAATGATGGGAGGGGGAGTGTAGCATTATTTGGGTTACCATCTCAGAAGTTATTCTTAAAAAAAATCCATGCAGTTTCCGCACATACATCTGTGATATTTTTGAAAATTCTCCGTACTACTTCTGGAATACTATCTGCTCTTCCAGGCCCAAAATAACTGCATGGAAGTCCAGCCGGATGTCCCTTCACCAGAAAAGCCGCACTCGGACACCAAGCAGAGCCTCCGGCAGAAGGAGCTGAAGCAGGAAAGAGAGGAAGGAGAGGAAGGAGAGGGGTCTGCAGCCTGGCAGGGTAAGAAGGAACCCTTCTGGGGCTTTTGGTGTTTTATGCCAGTGGAAATTCCCCTTGGAGGGGATTGTAGCACATTCCCAGTTTAAGCTTGAGAAGGTTTTGTCATTGTGTCTTGTTTCCAAATGCCGGCTGAGATCTTTTGTCACGGAACCCAGTGTGCCCATTACCACTGGGACCACCAGTACTGGCTTATGCCAGAGCCTTTGCAGTTTGATTTTGAAGTCCTGATAACGGCTGAGTTTTTCCTGTTGTTTATCCTCAATGCGACTCTCACGTGGGATGGCGACATCGATAATTCAAACTTTTTTCTTTTCCACAATCATGCTGTTTGGTGTATTGTGTTCCAAAAATTTGTCAGTCTGGATTCGAAAGTCCCACAGTAGGTTTGCATGTTCATTTTCCACAGGTTTATGATCCCACCAATTTTTTACTACTGGCGGGTGGTACTTGTGACATAAGTTCCAGTGAATCATTTGGGCCACAGAGTTGTGCCTTTGTTTGTAGTCTGTCTGTGTGATTTTCTTGCAACAGCTGAGGAGATGATCCATGGTTTCATCGGCTTCCTTGCACAATCTGCATTTTGGGTCATCCGCAGATTTTTCAACCTTGGTCTTAATGGCACTGGTTCTGATGGCGTGCTCCTGGGCTGCCAGAACCAGGCCTTCTTCTGTCTCCTTCTTCAGGGTTCCATTCGTGAGCCAGAACCAGGTCTTCTCCTTGTCAACTTTTCTTCAATTTTGTTAAGGAACTGCCCATGCAATGCTTATTATTATTATTATTATTATTATTATTATTATTATTATTGTGTTGCTATGTATTTTTTGGGCTGTATGGCCATGTTCTAGAGGCATTCTCTCCTGACGTTTCACCCACATCTATGCCAGGCATCTTCAGAGGTTGAGAGGTCTGTTGAAAACTAAGTAAGTGAGGTTTATATATCTGTGGATTGTCCAGGATGGGTTTGTACAAATGCTATGCTCAGCAAAGGACAAGAGGGGTCCTCTCACCTCTGCAGCAGTCTACCGTATACCATGTAGCTGTGGACAAGTCTACAGAGGGGCCACCAAACACCACGGCAGCATTGCCCAGACATGAATTGAGGCAAATGAAAGGCACTGCAGACCGATTCAACCAGAGAAGTCAGCCATAGCCGAGCCCTTCATGAACCAACCTGGGCACAGCATATTATTTGTGAACCCAGAAATGCTGGACCACTCTCACAATCACCAACCTACTCACAGCACTACTTGTGAGACAAAGTCCCAAAGCCTAAAATTTTACATATTCTTGGGCTGTGATCATAGGGACATGTCCTCGTAGGTTTCTTTCATAGAATCATAGAGTTGGAAGAGGCCTCATGGGCCATCCAGTCCAACCCTGCTCACGATCCCACCTGCACCTCAGGCACGTTTGGTGGGGACGAGGGACAGGGCCTTCTCTGTGGTGGCCCCCCGACTCTGGAACTCTCTCCCCAAGGACATCAGACAAGCCCCAATGTTGGCAGTCTTTAGGAAGAGTTTGAAGACCTGGCTGTTCCAGTGTGCCTTTCCAGAATAAGAAACTCCCAGCATCATGTCCCAAACACACTTTACTAGAGATTTAAGATTGTCTGCACATCACACCTACCCTAAGATCCTTACATTTCACCTGTCATGTCCAGCACTTTTAACTTTATCCATTACACTTGGGCCGGCCCTATTTTTAAATGTGTTATGATGTATAGTTTTATTGTATTACTGTTACTGCTTTAATGTTTATTGGTTTGCTTTATGAGTTTTATTGTTGTATTTGTTATGCTGTTGTTTTCTTGAGGGCCATGGCCTTTGTAAGCCACACCGAGTCCTTCGGGAGATGTTAGCGGGGTACAAATAAAGTTAATAATAATAATAACCCCCTGCCAAGAAGTAAGAATATTGCATTCAAAGCACCCCTGACAGATGGCCGTCCAGCCTCTGTTTAAAAGCTTCCAAAGAAGGAGCCTCCAGCACACTCCGGGGCAGAGAGTTCCACTGCTGAACGGCTCTCACAGTCAGGAAGTTCTTCCTAATGTTCAGATGGAATCTCCTCTCTTGTAGTTTGAAGCCATTGTTCCATTGCGTCCTAGTCTCCAAGGCAGCAGAAAACAAGCTTGCTCCGTCCTCCCTATGACTGCTTTTCACATACTTATACATGGCCTTCATCATGTCTCCTTTCAGCCTTCTCTTCTTCAGGCTAAACATGCTGAGCTCTTTAAGCCACTACTCATGGGGCTTGTTCTCCAGACTCTTGATCATTTTAGTTGCCTTCTTCTGGACACATTTCAGCTTGTCAACATCTCCCTTCAATTGTGGGGCTCAGACTTGGACACAGTATGATTCCAGGTGTGGTCTAACCAAGGCAGAAAAGAGCATGGGGAGCATGGCTTCCCTGGATTTTTATAGGACTGTAATTGTCACCTCTGAGGCATGTTTCTGTGATCAGCTTTCCACCCCTTGCTCTCTCTCTCTTTCTCTCAGGGGCTGGAATGATGTTGCCGAATCCTCAGTCCTTTCTTCCCTTTTGTGATGGAGTGGAAGTGACTCAGGTAAGCAGAAGGATTGCTGGGAGAGGAGGAAGGGAGCTGTCTGGGGGCCATTTCTTCCAGGCTTCATCCTCAAACATCTCTTGAAACAGAAAAGATTGAATGGGAGTTTCTTAAAAGTGAGATACTGAAGGTACAATTGCAAACAGTGCCAACAGGGAGGAAAAAAATAAATAAGAGTAGTCTAAAGAAACCAGAATGGATGTTCAAAGAACTTTCAGCTGAGCTAAGATTTAAAAGGCACATGTTCGAGAAATGGAAAAGGGGGGAAATCACTAAAGAATTCTTATGAGTAACCAGCGTAAGTAAGAAAAAGGTCTGACAACCTTGCCAGAAAGATTAGAAACAATAAAAAGCGGGTTCTTTGGTTGTGTCAGTAGAAGAAGGAAAAACGAAAAAGTGATAGGGTCTGTGTATGGAGAAGGTGGTGAGATGTAAACAGGGGATGGGGAAGAGGGAGAAGGTGGCCTCAGTCCTCTCCCAAAAGGGAATCCGTATTCTGCTTGAGCAAGATGGAGTAGATGGCGTCATAGGGGAAATGCAACCCCAAATAGGTAAAGAAGTCGTCCAGGAATAGCTGGGCACTCTCAATGAATTCAGGTCTCCAGGGCCACAGGAACAACATCCAAGGGTCCTGAAGGAACTCGCAGAAGAAATTCCAGAACCACTCGCAATAATCTTGGAGAACTCCCGGAGAACGGGAGAAGTCTGACCAGAGTGGAGGAGGCAAAGAGTGTCTCTGTCTTCCAGAATGGACAAGGGGTGCTCACCAGTGGTTCCTCTTCATCCTGGAAAGAAGGGAGGAGTGCTGCAGGGCTCTTTTGGGGGTTCTGTCCTGGGCCCAGTGCTGTTCCACACCTTTCTTATTGACTTGGATGAAGGTTCAGAGGGCGTGCTTATCATGTTTGCAGATGAGACCAAATGAGGAATGATAGATAATACTCCAGAAGACAGGATCAGAATTCAAAATGGCCTTAACATGTTAGGGAGCTTGTTGAAAACTAAAAATTGATTTCAACAAAGAGAAATGTAGGAAATACGCAAAGCACAGATACAGGGTGGGTAACATGTGGTTCGACAACAGTCCATGTGAAAGGGATCTTGGAGTGTTAGTAGACCACAAGTTGGACATGAGCCAGCAGTGAGATGCACCAGTTTAAAAGTCTCAGGTGAGAAGATTTTTTTTCTTTTCCCTCCAGGTCCCAATTGTCTTTGAGGAGGTGGCTGTCCCTTTCTCCCCGGAGGAGTGGGTTCTCCTGGATCCTGATCAGAAAGCCTTGCACATGCAGATCATGGAGGAGATTCGTGGGATGGTGGACTCTCTTGGTAAGGCCCCCTCATTCTTGGGGATTTCTGTTTCAAAATGCAGCATCCCAGTCAGCAGCTCTCTGGTGGGAGCAGGATCCTCAATCATCCCAATCTCTGAGAGTTCTCAAGGCAGGGCTTTGGTTGGAAATATAGGACATGAGTGGAACATGGACTTGGTGCCTGAGTCACAGTGGAGCTGGCACCAATTCACGCTCCAATGGGAAGACTTCCATAACTGGAGCCAAGTCCAAGCGTACCACACAGCGACAGGGCCCCCTGGAAAACCCATCAAGAGTCATCACCCCAGATCAGTCTCTCTCTCTCTCTCTCTCTCTCTCTCTCTCTGAGTGTGTGTGTTCTGCCTCTGTGTTCCTTGTGTTGAATTAGAAGGAATTTTACACAAAGGACAGATTGGAAACAATCATTTATTTCAACAAACTGAATTTCCTTTCCTTTGGTTTCCGCTGTACGAAAGGAAACCCTATGATCTTCTGCAGCCTTGTACTTAACCCAGAATGTGACTGCCTTTACTTTACTAAATAAATACTAAATGTGACTTCTATACTATGTCTAACTCTATGCCACTATCTATATCTAATCTTTATCAAAATGACATGTAGGAAACACTGCTTGAACACCAAGCACAAAGTAGTTGCACTCAATAACATCCTGCGGAAACTTACTGGCAGCACATGGGGTGCAGACCCCAAACTAGTAAGAACATCAGCCCTGGCCTTGTCTTACTCAACTGCCGAGTATGCCTGCCCTGTTTGGCATAGGTCTGCCCATGCAAAGCAGGTGAACATAGCATTGAATGAAACATGCAGAATAATCACAGGATGTCTTAAACCTACACCTGTTGATAAACTCTACAAGCTAGCTGGCATCCCCCCCCCCCCCCCCGATATGCAATGAGAAGTTGCTGCTAAATGTGAGAGAAATAAGGTTGAACACCTTGAAAGCCTCCTCCCAGTAGACTCAAATCAAGGAAAAGCTTTATGAGAACTACCACTCCTCTTGGCGTCCCCCAGCAACAGCAAGGGTATCCCTCTGGGCAGCTAAACCAGGAAACCCCAACTGGATGGCCCCCCACGAGAGAGGGTCTTCCTCCAGGGGCAAGCCAAGAATGGGCAACTTGGAAAAGGCATCCATTCCCCCCGAGAGAAGGAGACAGAATACAAACCTGGGCTGGGCTGAGCAACAGGGAGCCTCTGGAGCATGTGTCACTCATCTCTCTCTTCAAGGCTCCAAGCAGTCACACAGGGTCCATCTCGACTGAACAAGGGGGGGGGGGGATGACAACAGTTCTGTCTTCTCCACCTCCGTGTCTAGGCTGTTTTAGGAATCCTTAAATCCACTCCTTATCCCACTTCCTCAGAGTCCTCATCACTCATGCTGAGGAATGATTGTTTCTGCCCTTCTTCTTCCCAGCAGGTAACTGGAAGAAGAGCAATGTGTGCACCAAACACAGGACGCATTTGGGACACAATGGGGACCTTCCCAGACACCAGCAAACTCACAGTGAAAATGGAGATTCTGCCAGGGAAAGGCCCTACAAATGCAACGTGTGTGGACAATGTTTTACGCAAAATATGGGACTTATACTTCACAAGACAGTCATTGCTGGAAGAAGCCATTGTAAATGGAAAATATCAGCAAAATGTATTGCTGATTACGAATCACCACATTGGAGCCAAGTAGAAATCTTTCAAGGAACTGACGATATCATAAGCCAGGAGTGTGGGACATCTTTTCTGCAGAGTTCACACTTGAAACATGCACCATTTCACACAGGACAGGAACCATATAGATGCCAGGAGTGTGGGAAATGTTTTGCTTCCAGTTCACAGTTGATGAGGCACAAAACGCTTCACACAGGAAAGGAATGGTACAAGTGCCAGAAGTGTGAGAAATGTTTTACTCAGACTGCACAACTTATAGACCACTGGAGATCCCACACAGGAGAGAAGCCATACCAATGCCAGGAGTCTGGGAAATACTTTGCTTACAGTTCACATTTGGTGAGCCATAAAAAACTCCACACAGGAGAGAAAACATACCAATGCCAGGAGTGTGGGAAATGTTTTGCTCGCAGTTCATACTTGGTGAGGCACAAAAGACTCCACACAGGAGAGAAACCATATCAATGCCAGGAATGTGGGAAATGTTTTGCTGACCGTTCAGCCTTGGTGAGCCACAAAAGACTCCACACAGGAGAGAAGCCATACCAGTGCCAGGAGTGTGGGAAATGTTTTGCTGACCGCTCAGCCTTTGTGAGCCACAAAAGACTCCACACAGGAGAGAAACCATACCAATGCCAGGAGTGTGGGAAATGTTTTGCTCACCATTCAGCCTTTGTGAGCCACAAAAGAGTCCACACAGGAGAGAAGCCATACCAATGTCAGGAGTGTGGGAAATGTTTTGCTGGCCTTTCAGCCTTGGTGAGCCACAAAAGACTCCACACAGGAGAGAAACCATACCAATGCCAGGAATGTGGGATATGTTTTGCTCAAAGTTCACACTTGGTGAGCCATAAAACTCTCCACACAGGAGAGAAACCATACCAATGCCAGGAGTGTGGGAAATGTTTTGCTGGCCGTTCAGCCTTGGTGAGCCACAAAAGAGTCCACACAGGAGAGAAACCATACCAATGCCAGGAGTGTGGGAAATGTTTTGCTGACCAGTCAGCCTTGGTTAGCCACAAAAGAGTCCACACAGGAGAGAAACCATACCAATGCGAGGAGTGTGGGAAATGTTTTGCTCACTATTCAGCCTTGGTGAGGCACAAAAGACTCCACACAGGACAGAAGTCTTAGAAATGACAGAAGTTTGAGAAATGTTTTGCTTTCCCCACACCCACTAAAAACTACACAAAGGATAGAAAGGTTAAAAGATCCAGAAGTATGGGAAATGTTTTATTTAGACGTCATCCCATAACAAGCACTAGAGAATATACACAGGCTAAAAACATACAAATGCTAAGACATGTGGGAAATGTTTTAGTTGAGGTTCTTAACTTTTGAACTATCACAGACTACATTCAGGAGAGACATCATCCAAAGAGCTGGGACAAAATTAATAAAATGTAATAAAGTGGCAGATGAAATGGCTTCCAGTAACACTTGGCTTGACTTTGGACTCATTTCTTTGACCAATTTCTTCTTAGTGTCATGCTACCCGTGCTCTATTCTGCCTTGGTCAGACCACACCTGAATCGCACTCTCTCTCTCTCTCTCTCTTTTTTCTTTCTCTCACACTTTTTCTATTTTTTCTTAATTGCTTTTAAATGTTTTTATGGAAAACTTTCAATAAAGATTATTTTAAAATAATTTGGGGAGCAATGAGCAATGGTTTGACAGGGAGAGAATATGTCTCACTAACCATCCTAGAAATACAGATTTTTTTTCTTCAATCACTACATCTCTGCCGCCATCTTTACTCGAAGCCCCCGTTGGTGTCGTCGGTCCAACCCTTGTGCCTTCCACAAAATAGCCCACTTATACAGAAAATAGTAAATAAGTGAATTCAGCAAATCATTGTAGAAACCTGTTATACTCTTCAAATTCACAGTAATCACAAACAATATTATATGGATTCTATACAATCCCTCTGAAATGGGATCAGCACCGTGTCTTCTGCCGAGTGGAACAGGACCGGTTTCGGCCTTATTCCAGGCCTTCCTGCTGTGGCCCAGTCTGTGTATATGTGTTTTGTGTGTGTATATTTGTGTATATGTGTGTTTGCGTATATATATGTTGTTTTGCACATGTGTTGTGTTTTTTTTTTTGTTTTTGGCTTTTTAGGTCTCTTCTGTTGTGTTTTTCCATGTTTTTATGAGTGATGGTTTGCATATGTGTGCTTGCAAATATATATGTGGTTTTGCAGATGTGCTGTAATGTGTTTTTGTTTGTTTTTTTGGCTTTTTATGTCTCTTCTGTTGTGTTTTTCAATGTTTTTATGAGTGATGGTCACTTGTTGGCCTGATAGGTGTCTTGTGTCCAAATTTGGTGTCAAGTTGTCCAGTGGTTTTTGAGTTGTGTTAATCCCACAAACGAACATTACATTTTCATTTATCTAGATTTATTATTTCCAGTATTTCTATCCCATTCCTTCTCAACCTCCGAAGGGGGCTCAGGATGACTTACATTTGTCAGCAATTGGATGCCATTCCATATAACAGAGCAATATAATAACAATCAAAACAATAAGTAAAACATTCATTAAAACAGTCAAAAACAGTATGAACAGCTGTATCACCCTTCCAGTCAATTCCATATCTAATTCCCCGTCCAATGTGCTATCTATGCGTGTTAGTGGTCATCTTGGCTTAGCAGATTTGGTCACACAGTCAGTAGGTTAGGTTTTGCCCCCCACGAGTTAATAAATTTGGGGGCGAACGTATGCTCAATTGTATCTCCAAGAGCTCTCGACATTGCTGCACAAAAGGATCTCATGATCACAGCGCAAGCTAGAGCCAATCCATTCCTGGCCAAATGTAAATGTAACCTGGGCATGGAGCCTTACCCGTCTTTTATGCTTCCACTATATATTAGGAAACCTTTTCCCCGGGCTAGATTGGAGCAGCTCGATATTAAGTCCAAGTGGGGACGACCCCAGAATATTATTCCCTCCACGAGGAGAACCTGTGGGTGTCGTGAGGGAGGCGCAGAAGTGGAGGACTCCGAACCTTTCTTTCTTAAAGTGTCCCTACTCCATCAGGATCCGGTCTTACTACCTAGAGCAGCGTTTCTTAACCTGTGGGTCGGGACCCCTTGGGGGGTTGTGAGGGGGTGTCAGAGGGGTCTCCAAAGACCATCAGAAAACACAGTATTTTCTGTTGTTTATGGGGGTTCTATGTGGGAAGTTTGGTCCAATTGGTGGGGTTCAGAATGCTCTTTGGTTGTAGGCAAAGTATAAATCCAAGCAACTACAACTCCCAAATGTCAAGGTCTATTGTTCCCAAACACCACCAGTGCTCACATTTGGGCAAATTGAGTATGCGTGCCAAGTTTGGTCCAGATCCATTATTGTTTGAGTCCACAGTGCTCTCTGGGTGTAGGTGAACTACATCTCCAAAACTCAAGGTCAATGCCCATGAAACCCTTCCAGTATTTTCTGTTGGTCGTGGGAATTTTGGGTGTCAAGATGGGTTCAGTTCCATCATTGGTGGAGTTCAGAATGCTCTTTGATTGAAGGTGAACTATAAATCCCAGCAACTACAACTCCCAAATGACAAAATCAACCCCCCCCCCCCCCCGAACCCCTACCAGTATTCAAATTTGGGCGTATTGGGTATTTGTGCCAAATTTGGTCCCGTGAAGGAAGACACACCCTGCGTCTCAGATATTTACACGATGATTCATAACGGTCGCAAAAGGACAGTGATGAAGTAGCAACGAAAATACTGTTATGGTTGGGGGTCACCGCCACCTGGGGAAATGGAGGAAGGGGTCGCGGCATGAGGAAGGTGGAGAACCACTGACCTAGAGCCTCTGCTGGGGAACCAGACTTGTGTAGAGAATAAGGAGGAATGGCACACCCTCCTTCAGGGTTCAGGGCAAAACTCTATTTTCCCATTATGGACCCTTTGGACGCAGAAAGCGCTGGCCATCCGTGAGAAGACGGAAGCCGAGAGAGGGGGCCTTGCTGCCCTCAACATCCTCCACACTTCCAAACTTCATCCGGACATGCCACGCGTTTGACCTCCCCGCGCCCCTGCCCAGACCCGACTTGAAGGAATTCATCCATGTTTCATCTTTGAACCTTGTCGTTGCACAATCATTGAGGATGCCTTGTGTTCCTATATGGTTTTACTGTATGTATGGGCAAGTGTGTATGTCTTGTATGTTTTGCATGTTTTGATATGGCCAAAAGAATCGTTGTTGTCTATGCCTGTTGTCCTAAAGCCTGGTCCCAGGACCACGACTCCAATTTCTTCCCAAATGACAGGAGGGAGGGGGGCCGATCTTGCCTCGGTGGGAAGTGAGTTCCACAGGCGGGGGGCCGCAGCCGAGAAGGCCCTGTCTCTCGTCCCCGCCAGACGTATTTGCGAAGCCAGTAGGAGTGAGAGCAGGGCCTCCCCGGATGATCTTAAACTGCGAGGTGGGGCGTAGAGGGAGATGCGTTCGGACAAGTAAGCTGGGCCAGATACCCCGCGGTGCGTTGGATTCTAATCTCTTGTGCCGCCAGGACTGCTGACTGAAAGGTCTGTGGTTCGAATCCGGGGAGCAGGGTGAGCTCCCGTCTGTCAGCTCCAGCTTCTCATGAGGGGACATGAGAGAAGCCTCCCACAGGATGGGAAAACATCTGGGCATCCCCTGGGCAGCGCCCAATTGCCTCAGACCAGAAATGATGTGCAGTTTCTCAAGCCATGCCTCACACGAGAAAGACAAAACCCTCTTTCCTCCTTTGTGACTTCCAGGGCTTTGGAGAGAGAGAGAGAGAGGCTCCTTCCCCTCCTTCCAGGGTCAAGGAAGGGTGAAGGGGAGCGAGTGTGGTCTTCCTAGAGAGGCAGGAAGGAAGTGGGCCTCCCCCCCAGACCCGCCTTTCCGGTCCCTCTAGGAACCAGACTCCCTCCCCTTCACCCTTCCTCCTCCCCCTTGCAGCCTGGATCCTTCTCTTCCTCCTCCTTCTCCTCCTCCTCCTCCTCCTCTCAGCCTCTCTCTTTCCTCGTCTTCCTCCTTCTTCCTCTTCTCCTTCCTCTCCTCCTTCTGGGGAATCTTCTTCCCATTCCTTCTCCAAAGGGCGGAAGAGGGGCTGGAGCCCAACACACCTGGAGGGAGGGAAGGAGGGTCAAAGTGGGCCCAGGCCTGGACTCCCCTGGGGTTGGTTGGGGGTCCCCACATTCTCCAATTGGGAGATAACAAGGTGTGCACCCATTTCTATTCCCATTGAAGAGTGCTGAGAGATCTATTATTTAAAGTCTCTTGAACACTGAGTTTATGAATAGTACAAGAGAGGCCATGGATGAGGGAGCCTCAGCTGAAGGAGTCTTGGGGGGATCCAGCCTGGGTTGGGACTGAAGGGGAGCTCACTGGGAGGCCGGGTGGGCCTGGAGGGTGGAGAAGCAGAGGCCCCAGTGGAAGGAAGGAGGGCCCACCATTAATAATAATCATAATCTGGGGACTGAGAGCGGCTGACATGGCGCCAAGCCCGAACAACATATTACAACAAAATAAAACCAAAGTATAAACAACAAACAACATGACCTGGCTCTGAAGTCAATAAAGGGCTTGTGAGTTCACTCCCCAAGAAAAAGCCTCCTGAAACCTGTTGTCTCATTCTGCCTTTCTTTCACAGAAGAAACGTGAGCATTTTGGAGTACAGCCTGTGGAGGGATTTCTTTCCCTTGAGAGAAATGGCAGGAAACGCCTCTGGGATACAGTTTGCTTCTCCATCAAACAGTGGCTCCAACACGGAGAGACCCAACTCACCTGGACCTGAAGCAGGAAAGGCCTCCGGGAGCAGTGGGGAATCCTGGGAAGGAACTACGCAGACGTTCCTGAATACAAATATACAGTGCCAGCGCTTCAGGCATTCCTCCTTCCGAGAGGGCGAGGGACCCAGAGAGGTTTGCAGCCGCCTCCACTCTCTCTGCCGCCAGTGGCTGAAGCCAGAGCAACACACCAAGGCGGAGATGCTGGACCTGGTGATCCTGGAGCACTTCCTGAGCCTCCTGCCCCCAGAGATGGGGAGCTGGGTCCGAGAGTGTGGGGCAGAGACCTCTTCCCAGGCGGTGGCCCTGGCAGAAGGCTTCCTCCTGAGTCGGGCAGAGGACGAGAAGCAGGAAGGACAGGTGAGAGCATTGCCTCTTGGGTTCACTCACCTTGGGACTGATGGAGAGATTGAACGTACATCCTGCCCTTCTTCCAAAATAGGACCAATGTGAGGGAGAAGCCAGACTCTGCTCCCTCGGCCTCTCTTCCGCCCTGCTCTGCCTCTCCTGCTCTCACCTCCATATCCACTGTAAGCTCAGTTGCTGCTCTATCCAAATTTGTTGACCCGGGATATCACACTGAAAATTATGGGAGGGGGAGTGTAGCATTCGTTAAGTGGCCATCTCAGAAGTTATTCTTTCCAAAAAAACCCATGCAGTTTCTGCATATAGGTCTGTGATATTTTTGAAAATTCTCTGTACTTCTTCTGGAATACTCTCTGCTCTTCCAGGCCCAAAATAACTGCATGGAAGTCCAGCCTGATGTCCCTTCATCAGAAAAGCCTCACTCGGACACCAAGCAGAGCCTCCGGCAGAAGGAGCTGAAGCAGGAAGGAGAGGGGGCTGCAGCCTGGCAGGGTAAGAAGGAACTCTTCTGGGAGTTTTGGTGCTTTATGCCAGTGGAAATTCCCCTTTGAGGGGATTGTAGCACATCCACAGTTTGAGCTCGAGAAGGTGCATATGCTGGATCATTTGGCCTTGGGATGGGTATATATCTTAAACTCACATCCTTTGTATGATATTTCTTTTATGTACTTTAATATATATTTCATAGAAATGCAGTTTTAATGGGGGTCTTTTATAGAAATATTTATATTTGTTGAATTTTGCAATGTTTGTGTTTTGTAAATTGTGTTATAACCCTCCTCGAGCCAGACAGAGACAGATAAGAAATAATAATAATAATAATAATAATAATAATAATAATAATAATAGTGTTGCTATGCCTTTTTCGGGCTGTCTGGCCATGTTCCAGAAGGATTCTCTCCTGACGTTTCACCCACATCTATGCCAGGCATCTTCAGAGGTTGAGGGGTCTGTTGGAAACTAAGTAAGTGAGGTTTATATATCTGTGGATTGTCCAGGGTGGGTTTGTACAAATGCTACGCTCAGCAAAGGACAAGAGGGGTCCTCTCACCTCTGCAGCAGTCTACCGTATACCATGCAGCTGTGGACAAGTCTACAGAGGGGCCACCAAACACCACAGCAGCATTGCCCAGGCATGAATTAAGGCAAAAGAAAGGCACTGCAGACTGATTCAACCAGAAAAGTCAGCCATAGCCGAGCCCTTTATGAACCAACCTGGGCACAGCATATTATTTGTGAACCTGGAAATGCTGGACCACTCTCACAATCACCCAAACCGAAGATGAGCCTTGAAACTGAGCTGGAAGACAAACGGGCAACAAGCAGTAACTTTAGTCAATTCAAATACCAATCCCAGGACTCCTTTCCTTTCAACCTCCTCACAGCACTCCTTGTGAGACAAAGTCCTAAACCCTAAAATGTTACATATTCTTGGGCTGTTGAATGCTCCTGTGTCCATAGGGTCATTTCCTCATAGGTTTCTTTATAGGACTGTAATTGTAACCTCTGAGGCATGTCTATGTGATCAGCTGTCCACACTTTACTCTCTCTCTCTCTCTCTCTCTCCCCCAGGGGCTGGAATGATGCTGTTGCCGAATCCTCAGTCGTTTCTTCCGCTTTGTGATGGAGTGGAAGTGAATCAGGTAAGCAGAAGGATTCCTGGGAGAGGAGGAAGGGAGCTGCCTGGGGGTCATTTCTTCCAGGCTTAACAATCAAACATCTCTTGAAACAAAAAAGATTGACTGGGGGTTTCTTAAATGTGAGATACTGAAGGCACAATTGGAAACAGTGGCAACAAGGAGGAAAATAAATAAATAAGAGTAGTATAAAGAAACCAGAATGGATGTTCAAAAAACTTTCAGCTGAGCTAAGGTTTAAAAAGGGATGTGTTCGAGAAACGGAAAAGGGGGGAAATCACCAAAGAATTCAAAGAACTAACCAGCATAAGTAAGAAAAAGGTCTGACAACCTTGCCAGAGAGATTACAAAGAATAAAAAGCGGGTTCTTTGGTTGTGTCAGTAGAAGAAGGAAAAACGAAGAAGTGATAGGGTCTGTGCCTGGAGAAGGTGGTGAAATGACCACAGGGGATGGGGAAGAGGGAGACCGTGGCCTTAGTCCTCTCCCAAAAGGGAATCTGTATTCCGCTTGAGCAAGATGGAGACAGAGGGTGCTCACCAGTGGTTCCTCTTCATCCTGGAAAGAAGGGAGGAGTGCTGCAGGGCTCTTTTGGGGGTTCTGTCCTGGGCCCAGTGCTGTTCCACACCTTTCTTATTGACTTGAATGAAGGTTCAGAGGGCATGCTTTTCATGTTTGCAGATGACACCAAATGAGGAGGGATAGATAATACTCCAGAAGACAGGATCAGAATTCAAAATGGCCTTAACATGTTAGGGAGCTTGTTGAAAACTAAAAATTGATTTCAACAAAGAGGAATGTAGGAAATACGCAACACAGAGAAACAGGATGGGTAAGATCTGGCTCGACAACTGTCCATGTGAAAGGGATCTTGGAGTATTGGTATACCACAAGTTGGACATGAGCCAACAGTGAGATGCACAGGTATACAAGTCTCAGGTGGGAAGGATTTCTCTTTCTTTTCCCTCCAGGGCCCAATTGCCTTTGAGGAGGTGGCTGTCCCTTTCCCCCTGGAGGAGTGGGTTCTCCTGGATCCTGATCAGAAAGCCTTGCACGTGCAGATCATGGAGGAGACTCGTGGGATGGTGGACTCTCTTGGTAAGGCCCCCTCATTCCTGGGGATTTCTGTTCCAAAATGCTGCATCCCAGTCAGCAGCTCTCTGGTGGGAGCAGGATCCTCCATCATCCCAATCTCTGAGAGTTCTCAAGGCATGGCTTTGCTTGGAAATATAGGACAGAAGTGTAACATGGAATTGGTGCCTGAATCACAGTGGTGTTGGCACCAATTCACACTCCAATGGGAAGACTTCCTTAACTGGAGTCAAGTCAGGCAAATCTATTCATTTTCCTTTTTACAGCAAACTTCCAAAAACTGTCAGAGTCCCATTCAGTAGTTGATGGTCAAAGAAGAACCATCTCTGCAGCCCTCCAGAATTTGGTCTGGGACCTTCTACGTTGGAGTAGAAAAACCCAACCTTATCTGAAGATGGGAAGAGAGAACTGGAGGTTGGGAAGAGAAATAAAAAGGAGGGAAGAAGGGAAAGTTTTAAGCGAGAGAAAAAGCAAAGCCTTTGGATGTGAAGGGAAAAGGCATCCATTCCCCCCGAGAGAAGGAGACAGATTACAAACCTGGACTGGGCTGAGCAACAGGGAGCCTCTGGAGCATGTGTCACTCATCTCTCTCTTCGAGGCTCCAGGCAGTCACACAGGGTCCATCTTGACTGAACAAGGGGGTGGGGGGGAACGACAACAGTGATATCTTCTCCACCTCCGTGTCTAGGCTGTTTTAGGAATCCTTAAATCCACTCCTTATCCCACTTCCTCAGAGTCCTCATCACTCACGCTGAGGAATGATTCTTTCTCTCCTTCTTCTTTCCAGCAGATAACTGGAAGAAGAGCAATGTATGCACCAAACACAGGACGCATTTGGGACACAATGGGGACCTTCCTAGACACCAGCAAACTCAGAGTGAAAATGGAGATTCTGCCAGAGAAAGGCCCTACAAATGCAATGTATGTGGACAATGTTTTACGCAAAATATGGGACTTAAACTACACAAGACACTCAGTGCTGGGAAAAGTGATTGTAAATGGAAAATATCAGCAAAATGTATTGCTGATTACAAATCGCCACATCGGAGCATAGAAGAAATATTTCAAGGAACTGATGATATCATAAGCCGGGAGTGTGGGACATCTTTTATGCAGAGTTCACACTTGAAACATGAGCGATTTCAGACAGCACAGGGACCATATAGATGTCAGGAGTGTGGAAAGTGTTTTGCTTCCAGTTCACAATTGATGAGGCACAAAAAGCTTCACACAGGAAAGGAAGGGTACAAGTGCCAGAAGTGTGGGAAATGTTTTACTCAAAATACACAACTTATAGGCCACTGGAGATCCCACACAGGAGAGAAGCCATACCAATGCCAGGAGTGTGGGAAATGTTTTAGTTACCATTCACTCTTGTTGAGGCACAAAAGTGTTCACACAGGAGAGAAGCCATACCAATGCCAGGAGTGTGGGAAATGTTTTGCTGACCGTTCACACTTGGTGAGACATAAAAGAGTCCACACAGGAGAGAAACCATACCAATGCCAGGAGTGTGGGAAATGCTTTGCTGACCGTTCAGACTTGGTGAAGCACAAAAGACTCCACACCGGAGAGAAACCATACCAATGCCAGGAGTGTGGGAAATGTCTTGCTTACCCTTCAGACTTGGTGAGCCACAAAAGACTCCACACCGGAGAGAAACCATACCAATGCCAGGAGTGTGGGAAATGTTTTGCTTACCCTTCAGACTTGGTGAGCCACAAAAGACTCCACACAGGAGAGAAACCATACCAATGCCAGGAGTGTGGGAAATGTTTTGCTCGCAGTTCACACTTGGTGAGCCACAAAAGACTCCACACAGGAGAGAAGCCATACCAATGCCAGGTGTGTGGGAAATGTTTTGCTCACAGTTCAGTCTTGCTGAGGCACAAAAGACTCCACACAGGAGAGAAACCATACCAATGCCAGGAGTGTGGGAAATGTTTTGCTCATAGTTCATACTTGGTGAGGCACAAAAAACTCCACACCGGAGAGAAGCCATACCAATGCCAGGAGTGTGGGAAATGTTTTGCTTGCCGTTCAGACTTGGTGAGGCACAAAAGACTCCACTCCGGAGAGAAACCATACCAATGCCAGGAGTGTGGGAAATGTTTTGCTCACAGTTCAGCCTTGGTGAGCCACAAAAGACTCCACACAGGACAGAAGCCTTAGAAATGCCAGAAGTGTGAGAAAGGTTTTGCTTTCCCCACACCCACAAAAAACTACAAAAAGGATAGAAAGGTTAAATGATCCAGCAGTATGGGAAATGTTTTATTTAAACGTCCTCCAATAACAAGCACTAGAGAATATACACAGGCTAAAAACATACAAATGCAGGCATGTGGGAAATGTTTTAGTTGAGCTTCTTACCTTTTGAACTATCACAGACTACATACAGGAGAGACATCATCCATAGAGTTGGGACAAAATTAATAAAATGTTTTGTAACATGGAAATGGCAGATGAAATAGCTTCCAGTAACACTTGGCTTGAGTCCAATTTCTTTGACAATTTTCTTCTTAGTTTCATGCTACCTGTGCTGTATTCTGCCTTGGTCAGACCACATCTGGAACCACACTGTGTCCAATTCTGGGCACTGCAATTGAAGGGAGATGTTGTGTAGCTGGAATGTGTCCAGAGGAGGGCGACTCAAATGATCCAAGGGTCTGGGGAACAAGCCCTATGAGGAGTGGCATGAAGAGCTGGGCATGTTTAGCCTGAAGAAGAGAAGGCTGAGAGGAAACATGATGAGGGCCATGTAGAAAGATGTGAGGGAAAGTTGTCAGTGTATGGTTTTTGTATGATGTGCGTTTAAATGTAATTTTATGTAATAGGATTGTGATTGTAAAAGGATTGTATTGCCAGAATGTATTCTGACACAGAAGGGTTAAACAGCAGAGTTAGCAAGCTGTGAAGATGTGACCCTGAGTTCTTGCCTTGAGAGAAAGAACAGAGATAACTCCCTTCTAGCTACAGTGTGTGTATTAGCTTCTATCTTTTTTGGTTTGTTCTTCGTGTCTGTCTGCTGATTGTGTATGGTGTATATTTTGAGCTGCTTTAGTAAAGCTGAATACCTGCTTTTACCGGAGTCTCCAGAGTCCATTATTCTGAGCTTCAAAAGCTTCTGCTATACTCTGCTAACGCTGACAAAAGTCAGGAGGGAGCAAGCTTGTTTTCTGCTGTCCTGGAGACGAGGACGCAATGGAACAATGGCTTCAAACTACAGGAAAGGAGATTCCACCTGAACACGAGGAAGAACTTCCTGACTGTGAGAAGTGTTCAGCAGTGGAACTCTCTGCCCCGGAGTGTGGTGGAGGGCTCCTTATTTGGAGGCTTTTAAGCAGAGGCTGAATGGCCATCTGCCAGGGGTGCTTTGAATACGATTTTCCTGTTCCTTGGCAGAATGGAGTTGGAGTGGATGACCCATGAGGTCTCTTCCAGCTCTATGATTCTATGAAAGTGATGGAAATCATGGACATGGATAAATTAATGCAATTAATGAAGAAACACACAGGAAGACCCATTCAATCTACTCACTCCGCTCTATTGGCCACTCCTTGGTAATAGTCCTGTTTATATTTGTCGTGCCAGGGCAACCAGTCAATTATATTACATTTCTAACAGAACAAAGCAAACAAACAGACAAAATACAAAATTTGTGAGTTTGGGAGTTGATTAAATGTCCTTTGACCAGTATCTGGCCCCTTGGAGTGCCTCTGGTGTTGCTGCAAGAAGGTCCTCCCTCGTGCATGTGGCAGGGTTCAGGTTGCATTGCAGCAGGTGGTCAGTGGTTTGCTCTTTTTCACACTCGCATGTCGTGGATTCCACTTTGTAGCCCCATTTCTGAAGGCTGGCTCTGCATCTCGTGGTGCCAGAGCGCAGTCTGTTCAGTGTCTTCCAAGTCGCCCAGTCTTCTGTGTGCCCAGGGGGGAGGCTCTCATTTGGTATCAGCCATTGGTTGAGGTTCTGGGTTTGAGCCTGCCACTTCTTTTTTTTAAGCAGAGGCTGGATGGCCATCTTCCAGGGGTGCTTTGATACGATTTTACTGTTCCTTGGCAGAATGGAGTTGGGGTGGATGGCCCATGAGGTCTCTTCCAACTCTGTGAGTCCATGAAGGGTTTGGTGGGCATTGACCTTGAATTTGGGAGTTTTAGTTCACTTACATCCAGAGACTACCATGTATCTGGACCAAACTGGCATGAATATTCAATATGCCCAAATGTGAACACTGGTGGAGTTTTGGGGAAATAGACCTTGACATTTGGGAGTTGTAATTACTGGGATTTATAGTTCACCTACAATCAAACAGCGTTCTGAACCCCACCAATGACAGAATTGGGGCAAATTTCCCACACAGAACCCCCATGAGCAACAGAAAATACTCAAGGCCATCCAGTCACCAGGGCAAGAAAACATAATCAAAGTCCTTCTGACAAAGAGCCATCCAGCCATCTTTATTTGTTTATTTATTTATCGTGTCAGGAGCAACCAAACAATTGCATTGCATTTTTAACAGAACAAACAAACAGCAAAACACAAAATTTGCAAGCTTGGTATTCTATCAAATGTCCTTTGACCAGTATCTGGCCACTTGGAGTGCCTCTGGTGTTGCCGCAAGAAGGTCCTCCATTGTGCATGTGGCAGGGCTCAGGTTGCATTGCAGCAGGTGGTCAGTGGTTTGCTCTTCTCCACACTCGCATGTCGTGGATTCCACTTTGTGGCCCCATTTCTTAAGGTTGGCTCTGCATCTCGTGGTGCCAGAGCGCAGTCTGTTCAGCGCCTTCCAAGTCGCCCCGTCTTCTGTGTGCCCAGGGGGGAGTCTATCATTTGGTATCAGCCATTGGTTGAGGTTCTGGGTTTGAGCCTGCCACTTTTGGACTCTCGCTTGCTGAGGTGTTCCAGCGAGTGTCTCTGTAGATCTTAGAAAACTATTTCTGATTTAAGTCGTTGACGTGCTGGCTGATATCCAAACGGGATGAGCTGGAGATGTCTCTGCCTTGGTCCTTTCACTATTGGCTGCTACTTCCCGGCGGATGTCAGGTGGTGCAATACCGGCTAATCAGTGTAGTTTCTCCAGTGGTGTAGGGTGCACACTGGGCATGCATACTCATCAGCAAAATAGCAGAGCACAAGGTCAGATGTCTTCACTGTGTCTGGTTGTGATCCCCAGGTTGTGCCAGTCAGCTTTCGTATGATATTGTTTCTAGCTCCCACTTTTTGCTTGATGTTCAGGCAGTGCTTCTTGTAGGTCAGAGCATGGTCCAGAGTGACTCCCAGGTATTTGGGTGTGTTGCAATGCTCCAGTGGGATTCTTTCCCGGCTACATGCCTGGATCTGTAATTGGTTAAATGGACGAACCCAGAGGGTGATTCTCCCCAATGCTTCCTCTTCATCCTGGAAAGAAGTGACGAGCGGAGTGCCGCAGGGTTCTGTCCTGGGCCCGGTCCTGTTCAACATCTTTATTAATGACTTAGATCAGGGGTCCTCAAACTAAGGCCCGGGGGCCGGATGCGGCTCTTCAATGTCATTTACCCGGCCCTCGCTAAGGATCAACCTAAGTCTGAAACGACTTGAAAGCACACGACGACGACAGCAATCCTATCTCATGAGCCAAAAGCAGGCCCACACTTCCCATTGAGATACTAATAAGTTTAAATTGGTTAAATTGTTTTTCATTTTAATTATTGTATTGCTTTTAAGTGATTTTTGTACTACAAATAAGATATGTGGTATGCATACGAATTCATTCGTATTTTTTTCAAATTATAATCCGGCCCTCCAACAGTTTGAGGAACTGTGACCTGGCCGTCTGTTTAAAAAGTTTGTGGAACCTTGGCTTAGATGAAGGGCTAGAAGGCATAATCATCAAGTTTGCAGACGACACCAAATTGGGAGGGATAGCCAATAGTCCAGAGGACAGGAGCAGGATTCAAAACGATCTTGACAGATTAGAGAGATGGGCCAAAACTAACAAAATGAAGTTCAACAGTGACAAATGCAAGATACTCCACTTTGGCAGAAAAAATGAAATGCAAAGATACAGAATGGGGGACGAGGCCTGGCTCGAGAGCAGTACGTGTGAAAAAGATCTTGGAGTCCTCGTGGACAACAAGTTAAACATGAGCCAACAATGTGATGTGGCGGCAAAAAAAGCCAATGGGATATAGTATAGGAGCATAGTGTCTAGATCTAGGGAAGTAATGCTACCCCTCTATTCTGTTTTGGTTAGACCACACCTGGAATATTGTGTCCAATTCTGGGCACCACAATTCAAGAGAGATATTGACAAGCTGGAATGTGTCCAGAGGAGAGCAACTAAAATGATAAAAGGTCTGGAGAACAAGCCCTATGAGGAGCGGCTTAAGGAGCTGGGCATGTTTAGCCTGAAGAAGAGAAGGCTGAGAGGGGATATGATAGCCATGTATAAATATGTGAGAGGAAGCCACAGGGAGGAGGGAGCAAGCTTGTTTTCTGCTTCCCTGGAGACTAGGACGCAATGGAACAATGGCTTCAAACTACAAGAGAGGGGATTCCATCTGAACATGAGGAAGAACTTCCTGACTGTGAGAGCCGTTCAGCAGTGGAACTCTCTGCCCCAGAGTGTGGTGGAGGCTCCTTCTTTGGAAGCTTTGAAACAGAGGCTGGATGGCCATCTGTCAGGGGTGATCTGAATGCAATATTCCTGCTTCTTGGCTGAATGGGGTTGGACTGGATGGCCCATGGGGTCTCTTCCAACTCTTTGATTCTATGATACTATCTCACTAACCATCCTATAAATACTGATTTTTTTCTTCCATCTCTAGATCTATGATGTCATCTTTAGTTGAAACCCCAGTTGGTGTCGTGGGTCCAGCCCTTCTGCCGGCAGGACTGCAGACGGAAAGGTCTGTGGTTCTATTCCGGGGAGCAGGGTGAGCTCCCACCTGTCAGCTCCAACTTCTTAGGAGGGGACAGGAGAGAAGCCTCCCACTGGAGGGTAAAACATCTGGGCATCCTCTGAGCAATTTTCTCACAACAGAAGAGACTTGCAGTTTCTCAAGACACTAATCAGACAAAAATAAATAAAAAATAAAAATGGAGAGAGGCTCTTTCCCCTCCTTGGAGTGTCAGGCTGGGCAAGGAAGAAGGGTGAAGGGGAGGGAGTCTGGTTCCTAGAGAGGCAGGAAGGAAGTGGACCTCCCCCCAGACCCGCCTTTCCTGCCCCTCTAGGAACCAGACTCTCTCTCCTTCACACTTCCTGATCCGGCTAGCAGAGGGGAGTTGGTTCTCTTGGCCTCTCACCCTTCTTCCTCTTCTCCTTCAGGTGAGTCCTCTTCCCATTCCTTCTCCAAAGGGCGGAAGAGGGGCTGAAGCCCAACAAACACACCTGGAGGGAGGGAGGGCCAAAGGGGGACCAGGCCTGGCATCCCCTGGGGTTGGTTGGTTGGGGGTCCCCACATTCTCCAACTGGGGATCACAAGGTTTACAACCATTTATATTCCAATTGAAGAGTGCTGAGAGACCAATTATTTAAAGTCTCTAAAGTCTCTTGAACACTGAGTTTATGAATAGTACAAGAGTCCCTGGATGAAGGAGCCTCAGCTGAAGGAATCCTGGGGGGGGGGGGGGATCCAGCCTGGGTTGGGACTGAAGGGGAGCTCACTGGGAGGCCAGGTGGGCCTGGAGGCTGGAGAGGAAGAGGCCCCAGTGGAAGGAAGGAGGGCCCAGCATTCATAATAATCATAATCATAATCATAATCTGGGGACTCAGAGCGGCTGACATGGGGCCAAGCCCGAACAACATATTACAACAAAATAAAACCACAAAGTATAAACAACAAACAACATAACCTGGCTCTGAAGTCAATAAAGGGCTTGTGAGTTCACTCTCCAAGAAAAAGCCTCCTGAAACCTGTTCTCTGATTCTGCCTTTCTTTCACAGAAGAAACGTGTTTGTTTC